ATATATATATTTGTTGTTGTTGTTGTTCAGTGCCGTCGAGTCAGTTCCAACCCTTAGTGACACTGTATAGGGTTTCCAGGGAGTAACTGGTGAACTTGAACCACTGATCTTGTGGTTCAAACCGACTTTGCAGTCCTATGCATTAACTTACAGCTCTATACCAAGACTCCTTATATCTATATCTATCTATCTATCTATCTATATATATATATATATAGTTAGTTTTATTTATATATTAATTTAATATATAAATATATATGTTTATTTAAAATGGAATGTATTAACTCATTTAAACCCAAGAAGCAAGGGCTTTACAGATGATTCCCAAATATTCTTCCCAGCTTTTAATTTTAAGGAAGAAGTGATTATTCTGTGACTTTTCACTCATTCATTTATACTTTCATTGATTTCTACTCTATCTCATTCCAAGAAAGAATTAAAGGTGATTTACAAGCTTGACAAGATAATCAAATGAGGACACAGACAGTGAAGAGAAAAAGGAACCCAAACTAAACCTGTTACCCTCAATATTATGGTCCCATATGGTTTCCAAAGCTGTCATCCATATGGGAACAAACTGACCTCTCGTTCTCCCTCGGAGCAGCTGGCAAGCTTGAACTGTTGACTTTACGTTGGCAGTCAAGCGCTAAAAGGGCTTCATGGAAGAGGACAGAAGGGGCGATTTATTCCTGGTACTATCTGAGTCTGCCTTATCAGTCCCGGAGAGGAGGATTTTGTCTCCCTGCAAACACCCTGAGAGCCAGTCTTGGTTCCACCTTCAGTGTGTGGGATGAGCCTCTGCCCTCATTCCTCTTCTTCCCTATTAATAATTGTAATAGTTGGTGTCTATTGAGGAGGCCTGATGGCACACTGCTTAAAGCGCTCCGCTACTAAATCAGAGATCAGTGGTTTGAACCCACCAGCCACTCCTCTGAGAAAGATGTGGCAGTCAGTTTTTGTAAAAATGCACGGTCTTAAAAACCCCATGGGGCCGTTCAACTCTATCCTCTGTGAGTTAGAATTGACTCACCTGGTGGGTGGGATTGTCTATGGAACACTCTGCCAGACCGCTGGATGCTTTGGATGCATTTTCAGCTCACGTAATCGTAAGAGATGGGTATGGCACAGAGGAAACTGAGGCACAGAGCGGCCAAGCAACTTGCCTGTGGTCATGGAACTAGTAAATGCAGATGGGCACACTCCAGAGGTGTTTTATACCATATCCTCCATCACTTCTTGACCCTGTGTTGGGATTGCTCAGAAAGCTTTCCCCATTTACAGAAAGCACCGTCTTGCCTCAGGAGGCAGCTATTAGGGCAGGTTCTCAGTCACTGTCTGGAAGCTGGAACCAGAGCTAAGAAGTCATGACTTTTTCAGGACTCTCATGGTTCCTGAGCTGCCTTCTATGTATATTATGAGGATGACCATGGTGTTAATACATTTTGGTGAATGTTTTCCTTTTTTTCGGTAGGATTCTAGATCCATCGTATGGAATTTTTCTATAGCTTGTAGTCAAGTGAAAATTCATCTCACTTTTACTCTGTGGCCAGAATTGTGTTAGATGGGGTCATAGGATTATGAAGAACAGGTCTGAGAATCACACACCTGTGACGGGTGAAGAAAACTTTCTGGAGTCACACGGAGCCCTCCATAGGGGGTGGTCTCCACCAGGTTGTAGGCATCAAAGGCAGGAAGACCCACTGCCTCTTTCATGATCCCAACAAAAGGGGAGTAAGCCCTTGGGAGATGCCCCAGCCCACTCCATTGTCCTATCCCATCACCTCCTGTGTGGCACATAGACCATCTTCATCGGAGCCCTGGATGATGGCTCCTGTGGGGGAAGACAAGAAAGACCAGTTCCTCCCCCCACCCCAGGCCCGTTCCCAGTCCAGGACAAGCATCCATGAGTGGTGGACAGCATAGCTTACTGAGTGAAGCAGGAAGGCTCAGAGAGTGGGGACACACTGGTGAGACCTATGCCCTAGTGATCCTTGGGCCATAAAGGACAGAGACAGGGGAGGGGACATTCTCACCTTTCTGTTCTCTGCACCTGCCTTGTGCCTGGCATGGAGGAGATCACACTGAGAATGAATGAGCGAATGTTAGAACTGAAAGGAAGCTGAGTTCATTTTGTTCATGAAATAACAAAGGCTTAGCCAAAGTGCATGGGGCAGTATTGAACCATTGGATATTACAGTTCCCTGACTGGTGTCCCCCTTACTCTTTCCCCTTTTATTCCAGGGTCCCAGTGGCAGACCTGGTCTCCCGGTAAGTAGCTTTTATTTCACCTTTCTTTTGCATCTTCTGTACTCATTCTCAGTCTGTGGACAGGCCAGGTGGGTGGCTGCTCTTCCTCAAGTATGTCTGGATGAGAGCTTCTCTGGTCCAGAACTGAGGGGGAAGCCCATGGTCAGCCTGGAACATCTGGGCTCTGTAGCTAAAGCTCCTCAGACAGGTCCCCCCTGTCAGCGCTAGAGCTGACTGACTTCCAGGCCGATGGCCCTATAATGGGGCAGCGGGCAGGGTACTGGGTCTCTTCTTGCATACTGGCTAAGATGAAGACCTCTGTCTACTTCTCCTTTGCCCACTGGTCAGAAAGTGGACTTCAAGGTTTTGTTCTCCCCAGTTGCCATGATGCCACGTAACTGCAGAGACTTTGGGACAAAAGTAGAAAAAACAATAGTCTCCTTTTATGGCGACCTCATTCTGTGCCAGACACTACCCTAGTCAGTCTTCATTTGTTTGATTTGTTTAACTACTCAGTGAAATGGATATTATTATGCCCATTTTATGGATGAGAAAACTGAGATTCAGTTCAAGCACTAGTCTAAAGTCACTGTGCAGCTTCAGCTGCAGAACTGTTGCAGGATCCGTGTTACCACAAACCATTCCATACTGCTGCTCCAAGTGGTCCGTGCTCGCCCTTTGAGAGCCATTCTGAATGTCTTCTAAGACATTGCTCTGTGGAGTCTAGCCTGGAGCAGAGCTGAGTTAGATGGCGAGTGATTCAGACAAGATGCTATAGCTGTCAAAAGGCTGAGGGAGGGCGTGGACAGTGATCTGGGGCTGGCCCCAGGCTGTCATGTCTCAGTGTGCCAAAGACCACATTCACTGACTTCCAGACCCGTCTGTGTATCCCTTTTGCTCTAGTCACACCTCTCTTAGACACGAATTGTACTTTAACCTTTTAACTAATGCAACAGCTTCTAGGATTCATGTCCATGGTGACTTTCTTAATGAAATGCATGTGGGAGAATGGTTAGCCTTGAGAATGGAAACGCTCCCAGTAAGTATAAGCCCTGGAGCAAGGAGAGGACAGTGAATTGGTCCCATGAAATCCAAGGAGGGGAGAAATCAGACAACTTAGATGAGCGTGGGCAGACTTTGTTTTCTCTGACTGAGTCCACCTTTAAAAAGCATTTAGGGGCCAGTCCACAGTGCAGGGGCCACTGTGCATAGTTTCCAGCCTTCTGACCACTCCATGCCTGTCCCGAACCTGAGCATTTTATAGCGAAGGCTGCAAAGAACATTAGTTTTTATAAAGAAAAGGAAACCAAAGCACACATCCTGAAACATCATTCACCAGCCTGAAAGTGTGTGGACTGGGTGGGTATCACAGCCGACAGCCAGCACGGGCTGGGTTTTCAGCAGAAAGGATCCATGAGTCCTGGTCTTGTTCATCCTTCTGCATGAAGGGACTTGGGAGGGATCCAGGACAAGAATGCTGATCTTGGCCCCTTGTGAAATGTAAATTGTGTAAAATGCAAGCATACTGATAAAATTCACTTGCTTGTAGCCATGCTGGGCTTAACACTAGTAGATACCATGTTGTTGTTGTTGTTGTTGTTGTTGTGATGTGCCGTGGAGTTGATTCCGACTCATGGCGACCTTGCACAGGGTTTCTGAGGCTGCAAATCTTCACAGAAGCAGAAAGCCTCATCTTTCTCCCTTGGAGCAGCTGGTAATTTCAAACTGCTGACCATGAGACAAGCAGCCCGATTCGTAACCACTACACTATCAGAGGTCCTTAGTTATGAGGCAACCGTTATTAAATGCCAGGCACTGGTTTAAGCTGTTTAGAGATATCACCTCATAGAATCCTCCCTCCAATCCCATGAAAGAGAAGCTTCCATTTGATAGAGGTTGATGCTCAGGGAGGTTAAAGAAACTTAGAGCAGTGCAAGAATTTTACAGGTGATAGAATTCTCATCTTCCATGCGGGAGACCAGGGTTCGATCCTCAGCCAGCCCACCTCATGACTGTCCATGGAAGCTTTTGTGTTGCTGCCATGGTTTCAGTGGAATTTCCAGACTCAGACAGGCTAGAAAGAAAGGCCTGGTGTAAAACACAAAGCTCACCATGGTCATCTGATGTGCAGCTGGCCTGGGACCAGGAACATTTCATCCCGGTGTAGATGGAATCACCCTGAGCCAGGTCCCACTCAGTGGTAACTAACAACACCACAGCCACTCCTGCTGCCAAGGGCAGAACGTCTGACTCAGGGACTCCATCCGTCTTGACTACATATGCATACAAGAGCCTAATTTTAGAGCCGATTGCTCTTCTCTGGTACGCATCTGGGATGCAAATTGCCGTTCAGGCGTTTTTTCTCTCATTAGGACCAGCAGATGCACAGTCACCCCAGAAATGCCCAGACACTTTGGGGAAATCCAGGACCCCAGCTCTCTCCTCCCCAGCAGACTGTCTTCTCTTCTGAATCTGATTGCTTTCCTTCCTACCAGGTTCATAGCCAACCCCGGGCCCCACCCCAGGTTTTATGATGGCTGCATGAGTGTGATTGCAAAAAAGTATTTTCAACCCAAAGAGGGGAGGAGCAGAACTTAATAAGCAGATTTCCAGAGTGACAACATGGAACCCCTGGCTACAAAACAAAGCAATTCCCCTGAGCAGCTAGACTCGTGAGGAGGTTGAGTAGGCTGAGTCCGAATGCCTTGCAGTCCTTCCTGTTGTGCTGGGGATGGCCAAGGAGGAGAAGGAGGAGGATTGGGAAGGGCTCTGTCCAGAGCTTCTCAGACAGAGGGCCTGGAGGAGGAGAGGGAGGCGGAGTCACTGCTGCCCAGCTCTGGCAGAGTGGGAACTGAGGAAATGATCTACCCTTCTGTCCCATGGGAACTGCCAGTCACCTTGCTCTGGGCCTTGTGGTTAAAGCGTGACAAGGATGAAGCAACAACAGAAGGCTAAGGGTGGAAGTGCCCACTGCCCCCCCCCATACACATAGAGAAACTGAGGCTCAGGCTGGGGACCAGACTCCAATTTTAATGCTCTTTCCCCAGTACCTTGCACAAGTGCAGATAGAGAGAGGGGTGGCCTCTTGCTGAACAATTTGGAGGGGAGGGTCACAAAGGGAAGCCCACTACAGAACATTTGGGCATCGTGTGGGATGCCCCAACCACACAAACCAGGTCTTGGGAGCATTGCTCGCCCGTGGGGTCCTACGTAGGCTGCCTGACTACAGTACATCTGACTGTTTGCCTCATTCATCAGGGAAACAAAGGTGCCATTGGGATACCTGGACGTGTGGTGAGTTGCACATTCATACCTGCCCGTGTGACCATTGCTTGCTTCTGTACATTGACCCTGTCCTTCAAACCATGGCAAGGTGCTATTTGCCCCAACCCTATGGAGGGGGTCAGCACTCTCCCTCCCCTGCCCCATACTGTCCCCCACCATTCAGCTTCAGGAAGGGATAGGAACAGAGAGAAGAAGAAATTTATTCCAGCCCTTCAGTTTTCACAATACAAGGATGGCTTTACTCTCCAGAGAACTGCCAAGACAAAGGATAGACCCAGGGGAGTTGTATAAGTAAAGCATTTTGCCGATCCCTCTTATCCCTCACTGAGACAACCATCTTCCAGCTCAAGCAGCAAATGATGGAGAAAAATGCTTTCTCAAAACTAGGGGCCAATCCGAGGGAAAGTTGGATTTGCCCGTGTGGGGAGGATCCTCTTCTATTGAGGGACACTCACTAGAACAAGATGGCAGCAACATCCAGAGGAGAAGCTTGAGATTTTAAATGTTTAATGTTTTCTGTTGAAATTTTAAGATGGAGCAAGGCAAATGGGACTGTTTGACAGGAAGAGTGTTTCCCAGGATATTCCAGCTACACTAGATCTCAAGGTCCTGGAATCCAGGTTTTTTCGGTGGCTTAGGGGTAATGGTCTCTGAGGGGCTAGAAAGGGCAGTGAGCAGCCTAGAGCAGGGTGACCTCGAGGGGCCTCACCACCACCCAGCCTGGCCTAACTCCACACTAGCCATCTGCCCCCTCCCCTTCCTAGCTCCCCATGCCACATGGCCATGTCACTCACCTCTTTGCCTCCTAATCTCACCTCGTCACTGGCATTTGGTGTGTGAGTTTGCATGCCTGGGGTGGGCCCCAGTGCGGGGAGTTGGCTAACATGTGTGAAGGCTAACCATGTAGGAACCATTAGCTCATTAGTTCATCAGTCCTCAAACGAACTGCATGAGGTAGGCAGTCTCCATGCCCCTGTTTCAGAGTTGAAAACCGAGGCTCTGAAATGATCTTTCCCAAGGTCACATGACTAGGAAGTTGCTGAGCAGGGATTTGAACCTAAGCAGCCTGACTCCAAAACCTGTGCTCTTGACCCTAACAGTTCTGTGCACTACCACACAACCTGGCTGTTGGTGTCCCACAGAACCTGGGCCTGGGACAGTTCAGAGGGTCAGGCCCAGTGTCCTAGGTTACAGAACTTGGAGTTCCCGCAGGCTCAGCCAAAGCCTGGAGACTGGGTGTCCTGGCCACCCCACGTGAGGCCATCCCAACCCAGCACTGGAATCCAGGCCTGGCCCTGGGCCTGTGCTTTCCTTCTCTAAATGCAAGCCCTGGTTCTACCTGACCACCCCTGCACTCCTCCCCTGAACTTACCTGTTCACCACAATTCAGAATCGATTCCAAGGTGATAGGTTTGGTTGTGTTTGTGTTTTTTATGTGTGTGTTTTTGGGAGTGGAGGGGGTTGGGGAATTGTTTTTTTATGGATGAGGAGGCTGAGACTCAGTGTGTCAAGACTGGGGCGAGCGAGGGTTTGTATCCAAGTTTCCTGCTCCTGACAAGTAAACTTCAGGAACCTCCATGCGGGACGGCTGCTGGCCTGCAGAGGAGCTGAAAAACAGTCCCTCCCAGCCTGTGCTCTGCTCTTCTTCTGGGGTCCTGAGGGCATCTCCAACCAGGAAGTGTCTGTCTGAGCCTGGTTCTGACCCACAGTGGGGGCTGAGAGAGCAGCAGGAGCTCTTCCTATTTCTTTCCACACAGCTATTCTTAAGCCATTGGGGGTCTTCTCCTGCTTCTGGTGCTATTTTAGACGTGACAATGGACCCCATTTGGCCACTCAGTAGGGGTCGGCATGTGTCACTTGATAAGGACTCCTCCCCTGGTCAGAGGGTGAAGTGTCTGAGATAGGAGAAGGTTTCACCAGAGGTGGCCCACTGGCCTGTTGGGAGCAAGGTAGATGGTCACTATGGTTACAAGGGAGGGACCCTTAGCAAAACTATACAGTTTCCTCTGCCTCTCTGGCTCATCGTCTGTCCTCCCAGGTATGTGTCCTGCCTTCTGTCTACCCATGCTTCTCCAAGCTCCTCCATCCACCTTGCCAGCTTGTCTATAGCTCCTGGCATGTCTAGCTTGGCGGAGCTTTGTACTCGACAGAACTTGAGGACCCTCCGGCCTCCTATGGTCTGCTGTCACAGTTCAGGCCTTGGGAGATTCTAGGCCGTCTCCATCCCCATCCCCATCCCACCCACCTAATATGGATACAAATATTGATTCAGCTGGGTGGAGCTGTGGATTTTCCAGCCTACATGGGTTCTCTCTTTCTGTTTCGCTCATCCAAGCACACACAGAGAGGGTCTTTTCAGGACCTGCCACTCAGTTATCTGGAACGAGGTTAGCAGGCTTCCATGTCCTGTGCTCAGTTGTACATAGAGCCTTCGTGTCAGCATGTTTTGTTTTGTTTCTTATTTCACGGTGATTTCTTTAGTTTGGTCATTATGCCATTAACACGGGAGGCTTGTCTTTCTTTGTGTCTCGCTCATCTTCTTTCTTTTTTTCTCTCTCCCACCCCACCCTGCACCCCGTTTGTATGTGGCTGCCCAGGGAGTAAAGGGTCATGCAGGAGACAAGGTGAGTCCACATGTTCCCCTTCAATCCTACATGTTCCTCTCCAACAGGGATTCTAGGGGTTGGGCTTTTCAGAGGCCCTCATCTGGGCCCCACTAGAGCAGGCGGGCGGAGCCTGCTCTGCCCTGTAGCCCCTCTCAGCTGATCCATCAGCTGCGCTGGCCCCTTTTCTAACAGCTTCCACACCACCGTGCAGGAGTCTTGGGATTCCTGGGCATAGGTCCCAGCTTTTCTGGCGGGGTGGGTCTCCCAAGCCCTGCCATGGATGCATGTGGCCATAAGGTCCTGACTCACCGGCAGGGACAGACTCCCCTCCCCAACCAAGGAGCTTTCTCTTCTCTGTTCTGTGTAGCTGATCCCCACCACTAGTACCCTCGAGTGTAGAAACCCTTTCTTTGCCCCAGAGAGAGTACCTAGAGGAAGAGGGGAGTTCAGAAAGTATTCCCAGGGTGTGGAGTGGAGGCTCTGGGAAGAAGCAGGAACTCCAGAGGCCATCTGGGACATCAGCACAGGCAGTTTCTTGAGAGAATTTAGAGAGCAGGACACCACATAACTACCAAGGAGCTCTGGTAACGTAAAGATTATGAATAGGGCTGCGAACTGCAAGGTCAGCAGTTCGAAACTACCAGCTGTTCCGTGGGAGAAAGATGAGGCTTTCTGCTCCCATAAAGATTTACAGCCTCAGAAACCCTATACAGGGTCACTGTGAGTTGGTTCCGACTCCACAGCACATAACCACCACTACACCTAACTAGCTAACTTCACAGATGAAGAGACTGAGACCCAGAGAAGGGCACCGGGCTTGCCAAGTGCCCCCAGCCACAGCGTCAGGAGGGCCAGAAGCCAGATCTCCTAGGGCCCCGTGGCAGCCTTCCCATACACAGTGTATCTCTACAGTATATCTCCCATCTCCAAAATAATAACAGTAACCATTCCAGATACTATGTATTAAGCACAAACTTCCAGTTACAAATGTAACACCTCTGTTAACACACACATATTCACCACTCCTTGGAAACCCTATACAGGGCCCTTTCAGTATTCCCATTTTGCAATGGGGAGACTTCAGCACAGAGAAGCAAGGTTTTGGACTCAAGATTGCCCCGCTAGAAGGTGGCAGAGCTGGAGAGGATTTCAGGTGGTCTGACTCTTGGTACCCTGTCCTCTAAGACAAAGGAAGAATTATTTATCAGTCTTCTGTCACTTCACTCTATCACTTCGCTATAGAAGGGCAATCGCTAGCAGAGACTCTTGCTAGCACCTTCTGTGGACCAGGCATTGGTTTGGGTTTTTGTTTTGGGAGGGCCATGGGGTGGCAGATTATTGCCTTAAGTAGTATAGTGTGAACACTTTTTTTAAAAATAGATTTTAAAAAAAAACTTTTTATTGTGAATTGAGTGAAGGTTGACAAACAAGATCATCAGCTCTCCATTCAGTGAGGCACACACCTTGCTTCATCTCAATGATTACAATCCCCTTCCTGTAGCAACATTCATCCCCCTTCCTCCTGTGGCTCCCATTTACATCTTATATTTCACAAATGAACAAGGCAAAAACATTTGAATGTATACTTACAAAACAAAAAAATATATATATTCACTTAAATATCCAAAGGGCACATTGTGCCAACCAGCTTCTTGCCCAAAGACACACAGCCTTGCCAGTCCCTGGGTGTAGAGCCCACAGCTGCTCTGTCTCTCCATGCCACCATCTCTGCTGTCGCTGCTTTTGTAGGTAGGGATCTCACACTCTAGGCTCACCCTTCCTTTTTGATGGTCCTGGAATTGTCTGTTGATGAAATGAAATGAAATGAAAGGTCACCTACTCACTCCTTTTAGTTACACCATCTTCTACAATTATAGTTATGACAATTACGATTAGTCCTGCTAACAATTATTCACAATTGAGTCATAAAATCCTGTCACCATCGTCCCCAACCCCTTTCACCAGATCCGTCTGAGAAAAGAGGGAAACTATTCAGTGGGGATTCTACTTTACCCCCCTCACTCTGCAGCTAAACAGACTCATGAAAGTTTGTAAACCAGCCACTCCATTGCCTTTGTACTACTCCCTATTTTAAAAACAGACTTTTTAGAGTGGTTTTAGGTTTACAAATAGTTGTACATAAAGTATAGAATTCCCACAACCCCTTCTACCCTCTGCTCACTGTCTGTATTATGAATACTTTGCATTTCTGTGGTACCACCGTGTTTTACGCATGCTACAGCATTCCCTCATGGAATGTTCTCATCCATCCCATGAGATAGGTGCTATTATTCCTGCATCCCAGATGAGGAGATGAAGACACGGGGAAGTGAAGTAACTTGCTCAAAGTCACAAGGGCAAAGCTGGACTTCAAACGCAATTGCTCTGGCTAATCTGTGTTATTCACCATTATATACCCTACCTTGTATGCTAGAACCTGTGAAAGCCAAACCTTCGTAAGGTAGAAACCTGTCAAAGAAGGAAAACGCAAATATTTCCCACTAAAATGAATGACCAAAAAGTGGTAAGAATGTGCCCTGTCAAAGTTGGAAAAAAGTGCGAAACTAGAAAACTGGACAAGGCAGCCCTGTTGAGTTCTGGCTCTCACTGTATAAAAGGGCCCTGCAGCTGCAATGGCCATACAGAGCTATGAATTTAAAATCAGCCCTCACTTGGGTGTGAGGCAGCATCATATTTTACAAAATGCAGCCATGTCCTTTGACCTTTAAGGTCAGCAAAGCAGCTGTCAGTATCCTGCTTTCATGTGGGCTCAGAGCAGGTCCACAACTTATCTGATGTCATGCACTTGACCAAATGGCAGAGCAAGACCTTGAACTCAGGGCCCTGGGCTTTTCACTACCTTGCAGGAGGAGTAGACTCATGATGAGGTTCAGAATCCTGCCCCTCCTCCCAGCAGGACACAATCTCTGCCGTTCTGCCACAGTGCTGCATCCCGCCCCATCCATGCCCCATACATTCTGTACCTGCCTTCCCTTCTTCACCCCACATGAGTACTTACCTAGCCATCTGAGCTCAGTGTCCGGCAGCCTCCACTATTCCCTGGGGACTGAACATTGTGCCCCAGTACTAACCCCTCTGTGGTGTTCACAAACCAGAACTAGGAAATGGAGGCAGCTCATGCTCCAAGCATTGGGTCCTCACCTCTGCGTCCAGAAGTCCATCCACAGGGCAGATCCACTAGCGTCAGCAGTGACAGGGAGTGCAGCCAGATGGGTGTCGGGGGAAAGATTGGGCAGGAAGGGCTCTTTGAAGCCTGGGAGAGGTAGGAAATGGGAAAGAAAATGAGAAAACTCAGGGGCCTTGGCCAGGCCAGCCATTACTGAGCTGAGCCCCTCCAGACTCCCCTCTTCTCTTCATGTTAATGAATACCTGCGGTCCCCACTTTACTTCCTGGCTTGGAATCAAATCATCCTGGACCCCATATCTGCTCTTGATCCTTTTTCTTCTCTTTTCGTTCCTATTGCTTTCCCACTGTCCTTCTTGGACCTCCTGGAATGTTCCATTCACCTCCCCCCATTCTATTTTGCCTCTCCTAACCCCCTCATTGTCCTTTCCACCCACCCACCACCCCCACCTGCATCTTACTCCCCTGCTGCTCCTCCTTCCCCACCCGCCAGCCCCTTGATTCCTCTTTCTGCCTCTTCTCTTCTCCCCACTCTCCTGCTCGCTCTTTCCCCACAGGGTGCACCAGGAGATGCCGGGATGTCCATCATTGGTCCAAGAGGCCCCCCTGTAAGTTGTTTTTGCTTTTCTTTGGAGTGGGATGGGGAGGAGTAGGCAAGTCGGTGGAAAAATTTTGAGCGGAGCTGGGGGTGGGGGGGGGAGAGACCTGGCGGTCCCTCTGCATATGGTGGGCCCCACCTGTGATGTGGCCTGCCAGACCAGACCACAGAGATGCTCTTGATGTAAGAGAATGTGGCCTGTGTAAATATGCCTCAATTGCAGCCTCTGGGGAGGGTTAGAGGGGCCTGCCCTCGAGTCATGAAGTTTCAGTGGTTGTGATGCTGTTTCCACCAGGAACCTCAAGTCCAGATTCCCTGGCCCTGGTCTCTGCTCCAGGCCTGTGCTCACCCTCTTTCTTTGTGTGTGCGTAGGCCTGGGCCCTGTTTCTAAGCTTGGGAAAATCTGTGAGCTTCCCTTCCGATATGGTTCCTCCGGGACAGGAAGAGGGACGTGGGTGGTAGAGCTGGGAAGATACCATGGCTATGGGAAGGAAAGCCGGTTGTTCTTCCCAAACAGGGCCCTATTCATGGGACTGCAATCTAATCACCAAATGTTGGAGTGGAAAGGATTCAGTGATGTTCTTGGCCTCTGAGAATGGGAAACTGAGGCCCAGGGCTTCACCACACCCCCTGCCCCTTCCGCCATCCCCCTACCTCACGCTTAGAGACTAGGGTAGCGTTAGAGCCTGCCCCGCAAGACTTTCTGTCCATAGCAGGTGCCTTCTCCCCACTTTTCTGTGTACTTTGCCTTGCCTGTGATGGTTGCTGAGGAGAAAGGCTAGCCTCAGCCCAGGGGTGCCCCCAAGGCCCACACAGTGTGAGCAGGGCATGCCCATGGCGCCAGAAGTGTATAGGCTGGGGCTGTCTCCTCTCCCACAACAAAAGAACAGCATCTTTGAAGTGTTCTTCAAGCAGCATGAAAGACCCTCCCTGCTCACACCTGCCTGGCCCAGAGTCTGAGGCTAGCCCAGTGGATGGATGGAACCTAGCCTGCACAGTTCCCTGACTTCAACAGAGACAGCCAGTCTAGGGAGAGGGGTCAGAGAAGAAATCGCTGAGTTATGGCCAAACGAAGGGGCCACAACTGAGCTAAGAAACAGCTCAAGGGAGCAGCAGTGGTGAGTTCTGTGAGGTGATGCTACACTTGGGGAGAGACGTGGGGAAGGTACAAGACAGGAGCAGGATGGAGCTGGAGAGGCAGAGATGGCCAGTAGGTTGGTCCCCTGGCAGAAGACATCATTTGAACAGTTCTGGACTGGATGGGCACAGCCTTCTTGACAAGATATTGTCGTGGGGTTCAGATGGTAACAGTCACATTAAGGACTGACACTTAGAAATTACTGATTACATGGCCACATCTTCTCACCCCTAACCCTCACAGGAACCCTGTGAGGTAGGAATTGCTGTGGCTTAGGATGGGGCTTCGTCATGTGCACTGGGGGCCACAGCGTTAATGCTGAGTGCGCTTGTTCTTGTTGTCCAGCTAGGGAAGGTCAGAGAGAAAGAAGACCACCCCCAAGTTCTAACAGAAGACCCTGGGCTTAGGCCCATTAGTAGGATAGGGGAACAAGCCCAGGTACCATCTCTATGCGCCCATCTGTCTGTCTCCCAGTCTGAACACAGATGTTTCCATTGCGTCAGCCTCACTGCCTCCTCTAACATCCTTTTCATCAGCATCATGTCAGCTGTTGAAAAGGCCCCACTTTGGGAGAATGTTCTGAGGATCTGACCCAGTATCTCCTGGTTCCCAGCCTAATCAGGAACATACCATCAGCTTTAGACTTGATTCCAATGGTGAAAACCACTTTCTATCCAGGTAACACTTAATATTCCGTCTCCTGGATGCCTAGCCTGGGCCTGTGCTGAAAGCTCATGTATACCAGGGGTCAGGCACCAGTAGCTCATTTTACAGAGAAGCGAACTGAGGGTTTCATGACTTGACTATCGTCACACAGCTAAAAAGTGTTGGAGCTTGGGTTTGGCCAAGTTGCTTCCGTCCAAGCACATGTTCTTGTCCTGACACCCTGCTTCCATGCATTTAGCTTTGCTGTTTATAGAGGATGTTTACCTCAGTGAATAAAACTTCACCCTTGGGTCTAGGAGGGTGTAAGGTACTAGGAGAGGTTTCATGGCAGCAGAATCCTTTGAGCAAGTCCAGTGCCCCCCAACTTTGGCTTGTGTTGGTGACCATCACCCAGATAGATAAGTCCTGCTGGGAAGCCATCCGGCTGGGATTGCAGGGGAGAGGGAAGACAAAGGAACCATTTGTCATTTGTCATGAGGGAAGAGGTCAAGTGGGGCCAGTTCTGAGTGGCCCAGATAATGGGGAACATGTGGCTTCCCACTCTGGCCGGAAGAACTGGAGTAACTGCTGCTAATCAGAGCCAGAAGTCCTGGGGTGACACTGCAGGCTAAGCACTGGACCACAAGGTAGAGGTTCAAACCCACCAGCTGCTCCTTGAAAACCCTATACAGGGTTGCTATGAGTCGGAACTGATTCAACAGCACTTTAACAACAATAACATGACAATAATCAGTCAGTTTGGCTGCTTTCAGGGGCCACCTGCCTCCTCCCTTGGAGTTTGATAAGTTATTCACACAAAGGAGAAAATACCCCAGGCTCTTTGAAGGATGAGGGTTCACCACCCATTGAGCCAACATGCTGAGTGCATTGACTTTTTAAGGAATCCCATTAAACCTGGGGTCTTGAGATGCTGGCTGGAAAGGTCATCTGCCAGACAAGAAATGCCCTGGTCTCAAATGGGCCCATTCCTTTTCTGAGACCCCAGCTTCTCTCCCTCATCCACAAGGCTCACCGCCATGCCATGCAGATGTAGCTGTGGAATGTGGCTTCATTTACTCATTCCATTTGTAATAGGCACCTACTGCTCACCAGGTGCTGTAGAGACAATAAAAGTTTGCAGAGACCCTTGTCCCTCAGGCCCACAGTCCAGTGGGGGACCAGCAGTTAGGTAATTAGTTGTAATACAGACAGAATTAGGGACATTTAAAGAAGGGAGTGGAGTCCTGGTGTGGCACTGTAGGATAAGTATTGGACTGAAAGGGCAATTTAATGGCAAGGTCAGTGGTTCAAACTCACCAGCCAATCCTCAGAAACCCTATGCAGAGTCGCTAGGAGTTGAAACTGACTACATAGCACTTAACAACAACAATAAGGAGTGGAAGGGACTCATGCCTGACTTTGGGTTAGGGGCAGGCAAAGAAGGAAGAATAGAGGTTACCCAAGTATCAGGCCTGGAAAAGTGAGGCAGGAGGGACACTTAAAAACTATCTTAGAAATAGGAAAAGTCTGTTCTGGAACAAAACATGGATGAAGTGGGTGAGGCTGGCAGAAAGCAAGGGTCTGGTCATGAAGGGCCTTGTCCATTATGCTCAGGAGGTCATTTTATGCCAGAGGAGATGAGTTTAATTTGGATGTCATGAGCTAGTGGTGTCTTTGTCATGTCCAGCATCCATGTCCTCTTGTTGTTGGAGCTGGCTCACCATGCCTCATGGGAGCATTTTGTGCACATTGCCTGCCAACTCTGCCTTCAGTGACATCACATTGGTAGCTTGAAATCAACCCTGGTGAGAGTGGTGACATCACAGAAATTGGCAAATGCCATGCAGTCTCCTCTCCCACACTCCTCGTTCACAGCCATGGTTCAATATCTGCCAGTACAGAGTCTTGTGTGAAAGCTGGTCAGCCCTGGCTTGGAGAGAGGGAGGGAAAACGAAGGCAGGCTCTGGACAAATGCATGATGGATCTTCTTTTAGGAATCAAATAGTAGAAGTGAAAGGTGACTTCCTGGTTGGTTCTTCCCAAACAGAACTTCCATCTCCCATGTTGCTTTACCTACAAGTACTGTGGGTAGGGAAACCAGGAAAGGGCAACATAGTGTTTACTCCTACAAAGTCTGAGTCCACTCAACTCCCTTGCTACCCAGTCCTTGAAGTAAGGGAAGAGATTTCAGGGATCAATGTAAAGCTTAATTCTTCTTGGTTTTTTTGGGGGGAGGATATAAAGTTAATCCATACATTACAAAAAAAATCTGTAGTCTGCAATTTTAATGTCATCTTAATCCCAGTGAAATTTCTATAGCATTGAGAGTTTTATGAAATAATATTTTCATTTGAAAAAAATATATGAGAATGTCAGAAAAATTCTGAAAAATTAGAATAATGAGGACAGGAAGGAGGGAATTGATTCAGCTATATATCAAATTTTATAAGGATAAGACCAAAAAAAATTTTTAAAAAGAAGAAGAAAGCAATTCTAACAAACAAATGAATGGGAAAAACAAGGAGTTCAGAAATAAAGTCAGATGCATTGGGAATTTGGTACATGACTGATAACGGAAAAGGAAGGTAGATCGTTCAGGAAATGATGCTGCACCCCCTGACTAGCCATTTAGAGAAACGTAAAGTAAAACTTAAAAAATATAAAATCTCTACTTCACTCATTATATTAGAATAAACTGCAAATGAACAAACTATTTGGATAGAAAGTATGAAACCATGAAAGTGCAAGGACAAAAACATAAGTGAACATTTTATAATTCTGAACTAAGGATGACCCTTTGAAACAGGACAAAGAGCCCAGAAGTCATAGGAAAAGACTGACATTTGCCAAGATAAATATAAAACTTCCATATGGTGAAATCATACCATAAACAAAATAAAAAACAAATGCCAACGTGGACAATAAATTTGTAATACATATGATTGTCCAAGTTCTTTTTCTTAACAAAGAGCTTTATCCAAATCAATAAGAAAAAGACGACCTAGTAGAAAAGACAGGCAGTTCACAAATAGGACGAGCCAGTTGACGTAAGGACAGACGTTCAACTGTGCCATATAATTGAAGAGAGCTAAATTAAAATCCACTTCTGAGCCTTTCCAAGTGCCCACTCTCCTCCCCAGGATGACGTAGACTCCCCATTTCCATTTGGTCATTAACAGCATTCTCCCCAAGATCCTTGAAAACGCCCTGCTTAGCGCCGGACTGGGCCCTGGGTTGGAGAGATGCGTCCTGCTAACTCGGCAGGCTCTGTAATTAGAAAACCACATGGTCATCCGTAACATGTAAACATTGTCCGGAGAGGGACTCCAGAATGTTTTTTTGGAATCCTCTTCTCCTGACTTTTCATGCAGGTCTTAGTGTTTGGTGTAACCTTAAGTTTACATTGGGAGCTTTCAGAGACTGCGCTGACTGAGTTTCCAGGTTTTCTCCTTTGTGCTATTCTTAGCCTCACTTATCCTTGAGAGGAGAGCGCCCTAGACCCTTCTGGTATTCAAGTGGCACTCCTCCCTTTTACCCTTTTGGCCACCTCCACAAACCCAGCCTGAGGCAGCAGCAAACTCCAGTGGCATCCCTGCTGGCCAGTAGACCCACCTACAGCAGGGACCCTACCCCATCTACACAGAGGGGCTCGCCTGCGGATTAGGCATTCATGTCCACAGCTTCAGTGGGGGTACAAGCAGCCCAGAAATGCTTCAGGGTCACATCTGATGGACGCAAAGACTGTTTCTCTGGAAGGAACCTTACTCTGAATCTACTGCTTGGCAAGGACAAACCTCCATTGATCCTGAGACCTGGCAGATTCAAAAGCAGCCTTATTTTTTTATTTAGTGAAATTCAACAAACATCTAATGATGGAAGCTCACCATTTCCTGAATACTTAAAGGATGTCAAGCAAGACACTTTACGTACATCTCTGTTGTGGTTAGCATGGTAACACAATGCACAATGAGACTGGACCGATATGATTCATAAGGTTTGAACTGGCTGATGTTTTGGAAGTCTATTGTCAGGTCTTTGTTCGTTGTCCATCTTAGTGGGGAAGTTCCACGGGAGACCTGTTCAGAGCAACAACAGGCCTCCACTGGCAGGTGGGTAGGCAATGTGCAGAAGGTTTATTGGCAAGAAATCTAACCTGGTCTCCCACATAGAAGACAAGAATTCTGCCCCCAACTTTACAAATGTTTGTTGTTAAGTGCCGTCGAATCAGTTCCAACTCATAGCTACCCTGTACTGAGTTTCCAAGGAACGGCTGATAAGCTTGAACCACCGACCTTGCTCTTCAAACTGACCGTGTGGTCTAGCACATTAACCCGGACCATGCCCGGCACCATACCAGGACTCCAGTGACCCTATGAAGTTATACTGCTATGCCCATTCTATAATGAGGGAACTGAGTCTAGAGAGTTGGAATCACAGCAATCATTGTTGGAGCCAAGATTTGACTCAGTCTGCCAGACTCTAAAGCCCATGATCGTAAATGAGTAAAACCCTCTGACCCAAGAGGAGACTCCAATCCCAGAGCTGGACATGTGACAGATGTCCAGGGCAAGGCAGGTGAATGACCAATGTGTCTGAGCCAAGAGTAGGTGGAAAGATGAGGCAGGAAGGGATATGCGTGACTGAAAGTAGCACTAAGTGATACGTAAGCAAAGGGAGCCCTTGCTACTTGCTGAGGTGAGTAGTGATGTGAGCCATCTCCTTAGATCTCGGTGGCCCTTGACCTCCTGTCTGTTGCCCTTGATCTCCTGGTCAACCCTTCTCGGGCTGGATCCTCACAGCCTCCTCCTGCTTCTGCCCTCAGCACATCGCTTTGATCCTGGGTCTTGACCATAAACTGCTGAACCTGCTCTTGTCTCCAGCTTCAGTATTGTGCTCTGTGCTTTAAGAAGATGGGGCTAAGTTCCTCTGCATCCCACAAAGACTGGGGGAATCCAGAAATTTCCCAACAGATAGGAGAAGTCTGCTCTGCTGGGTGGGAGGAAAGTGAGCAATCTGACCTCATCCAACCTGAAAATACACAAGCTCTGGGCTGAGGTTCAGCTTTGCTGATGTCCAAACCCTCCTTAGATAAGTGGCTGGGAGCTATGACTAATGGTATAAATAAAAATGCTTAGAGGGTCCCAGTCAGAAGTCCAGCACAGTGGGGGCTCTGCCTGGCCTCGCCCTCCCATCTGTTTACATGCTGTGGTTCAGATTGTCCCCAGCAGCGGGACACTCTTCAGGGACTATTTCCTTGGGAGGTCCAAAGGATGCTGACCTTTTCATTTTTCCTTTCCACCCCCAGTCACCAAAGGGGATTTCCATCAATGACTTCCATTTCCATCTTTCTCCCTCCCATGAACTGACTGTGGTGGCTATCAAGGGAAGCTACGGGCTCTCTGGGAGCAGAGATCAACCAGGGAACTAAGGAATGAGCGCCATTTTTTCCCCACTCACCCTCACTCCTTTCCTGTTCTTTTCAGGGCCAGCCGGGCACACGAGGTTTTCCTGGGTTTCCGGTAAGTGTCCCAAACCATCTTGGGACTTAGTTGGGTAATATACTTCATCCAAGGCCAGCCTAGAAGCCACCATGCCACCACCCCATGTCATGAAAGACCCTCTCCCACAGTCTTCCACAAAGAGAAACCAAAGAGAGTGCTTGAGTCATGGGGAAAGCTGTTGGGTGCCGTGGAGTGCACAACAGAACCAAACACTGCCTGGTCCTGCACTATCCTCACCACCGTGGTTACAACTGAGCCCATTACTGTTGCCACTGTGCCAATCCATCTCGTTGAGGGTCTTCCTCTTTTTCACTGACCCTCTGATGCCCTTCTCTAGGGACTGATACCTCCTAATAATATTTGGACACGGTACAAGAGAAGACCCGGAAATAAATATACCAACACAGAAAGTGGCAGGGCAGGGATCCCCACAGCCTTTCAAGTTGAGTGAAGTCATAGGCTGATGACACTAGAATATGGTACAGATGTGCAAGGCTCTCAGAGTGAGATCCAAGCCATGGAGGAGCCAGTGGGGTGGCCATCTGGATGCCTTTAGGCCCTGGACTGAGGGACCTTACGCAGGTCCTAGTAGGCAGGGCAGGAAGAGCCTCGGATACTAGCCAGTCCCTGATTTATTAAGGATACACAATCCACTCACCAGTGGTCTTTAGTTTCCATGGTGACTGCCACTACTGGGCTGACCCTACATACAACATTTTGCTTACTCTTCACAAGGACCTACCGTCCCCACCCCCATTTTAGGATGGGAAAATGAGACATAGACTTACCTACAGTCACATGACCAGTAGGTGGATAAGTTGGGACTTGAACTCATTGCAGTCCAGAGCATGTGCTCTTAACCCCTGCCCCGGGCTGTCTCCTATGATGTTTGGTCCTTATTTATGTCTTCTTTCTGGTTTCAGGGTCCCATTGGGTTAGATGGAAAACCGGTAAGTGGAGCCTCTCTCAGGCTGGGACTACCCTTCAGTGGTCTTCCACAAGACCCTGACTCCTAGGGAGAAGCTTAGATAGAATGAAGTCACCTGTCCTGGCCTGGAGGTGTTTTTGAGTGAGTGGTCTTCGACCCCAGTGGGCTTTCCCAGGCACAAGGTCACAGCCACCAGGCTGAGCTCCCACCAGCCATCCCTAGAATTTGGTGATTCTGGGCTTTCCTGGAAGCGACTAAGGAAGGGACTAAGTCAAGGAGGCTTCAGGGAAACTAGAGGAGCGGGTAATTCTACCAGCTAGCTCTAGGAAGAGGCTGGGCAGCTCCCACACAGCCAGCCCTGGATCCCAGCCTGCAAAGGTAGGTCCCAGGTCTCCCATTCCACTCATCATCGCCCTCCCCCACTGAGTCTCCCTCCCCACACACAGCTCAAGTCCCCTTGAAAACTGCCCTTCCTTCTTTAAAGGTTCTCTTTGTCCTTCTGACTCAGTCCCCAACACAAATGCTTGTGGGGAAAAGGAGAGCCCAGCCCACCCCTAAGAAGGAGAGCTTGACCTTGACCCCTCCAAAGCCCTTGACCGCCCCCCCACACACACACTCAGAAAGTGTTACTGTACTGTTAGTATCATCCAGTTGGTTCCAACTCTGAGCAGTCCTATATGGGGTTTCCAAGGAGAGGCTGGTGGTTTTGAACCAACAACCTTGCAGTTAACAGTCCAGTGCTTATTGGGTGGATGCAGTTCAGCCTTGCCAATAGCCCAGCCCCACCCTCTCCCCTCTGCATAGGATGACCAGGCCCACTGCCAGGTTAGCCCCTGCTGCAGACGTGTGAGCTAAGCAGCAGCCAAGGTGGCATTCGTGTGTATTTCTGTTCTTCTCATAGGGCCACCCTGATGTGGATGGGAGGGCAGGGGTCCAAAGGGACCACCCCCTCCCTGTTCTCTGAAGGATAGGCAGCTCCCAGCAAGGCCAGTGTTGTTGTTGTTGTTAAGTACCGTAGAGTCAGTTCCAACTCATAGTGACCCTGCACATGGTTTCCAACGCTGTAAATCTTTACGGGAGCAGAAAACCTCATCTTTCTCCCGCAGAACAGCTCGTAGTTTCGAACTGCAGACCTTGAGGTTTTATAACCTGATTCGTAACCACTGTGCTACCAGAGCCAGTAGAGGGCAGTAAAGGGTGGAAACAAGAGCAAATGCAGCCCGCAGAGAGGCGAAGAGGAGCCATGGGGCAGAGTGGAGGGTGGGCGGGGCTTCTAGGTGCTGGTGACTGTTTACCTGTCATTCACACTCTTCTCTTGCAGGGCCACCCAGGACCCAAAGGGGAAATGGTAAGACCCCAACTTTCTTGCCTTTTGGGGAGCGGGTGGAGGTTCTCCTGACCCTCCTGGACCACAGCCAAGCATGGCCCACCAAGGGCCCTACAACGACAGCAGAGGTCATACCCCAGCTGTGTACACCTACATCTCCGAAGATCCTCACATCAGCACAGGTGGGGGGCATCCAGAGAAAGGCTGCGACCTGTTACACAGGTTAGGGACCAACACAGTGCTCCCAAACTCCTGCTTACCTTGGGGACAGGTAACTCCTTGGGAACAGGTAACTGAGGCAGCATTTCTCTCAGGAGACATCATTTGTCCTCAGACTTCCCCTCAAGGCTTGGACCCAGTGGATGTCCCCGACTCACTGGGTTTTACCTCCAGCACACATACCAGGCACTCTTGCCCCAACTGGGCACACTGGAAAAGCAGGTCCCTTCTACCCTTTGCAGAGCATTTTTGGAGGAATGTGTTTCCCTCACGGCCAACCCCAGGCTTCCCGTATCAGGAACCATGATTCCGGGGTGAGGGAGATCAGTTCTCAGGGGGCCCTCAACTGGAGTGCTTTCTTGCTTCTGTGTCCCAAGTCACCCTTGCTCCATAGGGGTGGCAGCTGAATTTGAAATATGCCAGTGGATGGCAAGCGTGCCTGTCCAGTGGGGTCTGGGGGGCACTGTGCCCTAATGCTGGTGGACGGTCCTTCTCCACTCAGTATGGGGCGCCAGCAGGATACCACAACAGTGCAGGCTGAGGGAAAGGAAAAGGGAGCATGTGGACTGAGAGACCTAGGCCGTGGCTCTAGTCTTGCCCTATCTTGTCATAGGACCTTCTCAACTCAGCACCCATCTCAGAGCCTCAGATCCAACATCCCTTACTGGGTGTTTTCTAGGTGACAGGTGTTGAACTAAGTACTTTACATAATCCTCAGCACAACCCTGTGCTCCAGGCCCTTTTGACAGCTGGGGAAACTGAGGCTCCGAGAGTCTAAGTAACTTGCCTGAAGTCACACAGCTAAGGAGTGTCTAACACAGGATTCAATCCCATTTCTTAGTTTCCTTCTTTCCACACCTTCTTGACTTCCTCACTTCCTTCTCTCCTTCCATACCCCCTTGCCTTCTTCCTTCCTCCTTCAGCACATCTTTTTATTGAGTAATGCTAGGCACTGGGTCAGGTGCTAGGGACACAGACTGTGCTAGCTTCTAGCATCATAAAAACACACAAGTCACCACAGTACCTCAAACTAATAGTGAATATGAAGACTACACCTTTGGTATCAACATAATCTTCTGAACTCGTCTCTCTTCCTTGCTCAGATTTGATGTCTTTCCAATTTTCCTTTTTTTTTAAGTTTTTATCATGAATTGAGTGAAGGTTTACAAACAATATCATCAGCTTTACTTTCAACAAATTTTATACTTTGTTTCATCTCATTGATTACAATTCCCTCCCTGCAACAACAGTTATCCTACTTCCTCATTGTGACTTCTAGCATCTCACAGTCTAGAAGGAGAGAGAAACATTTAAACTGTCATGCACATAAACAACAGGTTGCCTTTGCAATCAGGGCTATGAAAGGGAGTAAGGAAAGACATCTCAGGATCAGGAAGGTGGGCAACGTCAGGAGTCCCAACCTCATCTGTAAGTCAGGTGAGGCAGCAGCGTGTAAAAGATCAGCTCAGATGCACCAGCATATTCAGAGGGGCCTGTTTCTTGGCTCTGGAAGGAGAGGGAGCGAGTAACACAAGACATCTAGATGCAGCCCTCATACACCGTTTTGGGGAGAATGAATGTATTTCGCCATGCCCTGTGCAGGGGACAGGCACCCAGAGTCATGTCAGTGACCAGACAAAGGACTGAGTCTAAGGATGCTCGTCATTCTGGAAAGCACCTGGAAGCCCTGAGTTCTGTCACACCTCCCACCCCACCCCACCCCCAGCCTCACCTCTGACCCAGCCCATCTTCTGTCCACCCCTGATCTGTGTGTTTCCTTCTCCACAGGGTCTGATGGGCCTCCGAGGACAGCCGGTTGGTACCACTTCTAAATATTACCCGTGGAGACACGGCTAATGATGTGGTGCCCTTAGTTTTGCTTTCTAACACTCTCATTTTCATCTCTTCATAGGGACCTCAGGGACAAAAGGGAGAAAAGGTAAGCCTGCTAAAGTGCTCCAGAATTGCTTTAGGAAACAGCCTCCTAGCAGGTGGAAACAAACGTTGTTGTTAAGTACCGTGGAGTTGCTTCCACTCATAGCGACCCTGTACAGGGTTTCTGAGGCTGTAAATCTTTACGGGAGCAGAAAGCCGCATCTTTCTCCCGCAGAACCGCTGGTAGTTTTGAACTGCCAACCTTCAGGTTAGCAAGCAGCCTGATTCGTAACCACTGTGCTACCAGAGCTCTTTAGAAACAAACATAGTGAGTTCTTTTTCAGTAGAGCCCTTAGTTCTGGAAAATCCCAGGTGGCAGCATATATGAAAGAGAGACGGAGGTGAAGGCCTCTTGTTTAGGGCAGAGAGGTTGCCTAGAAACTGACCCTTTCAGCCTCATCCTCTGCCCTCCACCCCACTTGCCACCAGCATGGTGGTCGGTGATCCCTGGCCACTGTGTTAATTTGTAAACACTGGCCTGACCTCTGTCTTCCCATCATACTTCCTCTGTCATGTTAAATTTCTGGTCAAGAGTCTGCTGGGCTTGCCTGTGAATGGGTGCACCCCAGGTCATCTCCCACAACCCGCCTAGGTATCTGCTATTCCCATCCAGGCTGTCCTGTTTCAGGGCTATTGGGTGAACCTGCCCAGAGGGTAGAACTTTCCAGGAAGTTCCTCCAGCGTCACTCCTGATTCTGCCATGTGGCAAGATGGCTAAGATAGGTCCTGCCCCTGGGGGGCCACCTGTAAGTATGCCCTGGGTTCTTCTTCCTGCTGCCAGCCAGGAGCAGGGGAAGGAAGGAACTAGTTCTCCCACTCGCCTCAGCACAGATCAGGAACAGAACTGAGCTGGCCGTGATGAGCATGAGTGATGTGTCCAGAAGTCATGAGTTTGCATTGAGGGACAGCCTCTGCCAATAAGTGCCTAACACCCTCCTCTCCTTCCCTCTCTTCCCTAGGGTCAGTGTGGAGAGTACCCGCACCGGGTAAGTGAACCCCTAAAACTGGCCAGAGCCCTTTGCTCCACTCCTGGGGCACAGACCAGCTCAGCCTCACCCAGGGATCCCCCAGCACTAGCTGAGATTGGTGGACAGAGACTCAGCAATCCAGTATTAGCCAGAGAGTTGTCTGGGGGTGGGGGCAGAGATCTAGCCAGCAGAGCAGGCTGTCTCCCTGGGGGTGTGCCTTGTGGGTCAGTATGTGTGCCTCTGCCTGTGGGCATCTGTCCCTGTCCCCCTGTGTCAGGACAGCACTGCCCGGTCAGTCAGCCTCTTGAGCTCGTATGTCTGAGGCTTGTGCCTGGCAGCGGGTCTCCATGCACCATCCTTTTCATGTGGCCATGTGGTTTGGGCGAATCTGTGTGTCTGATCTACCCACTTGGTGTGTGTCTCTCTGACTGCCTGTCCTGACAAATAGGGTTAGTCAGTGCTTCAAATGGCCCAGACCCCACCAATACAGGTAACTGGAGCTGACTAGTTACTCAAGGGTAGTCGTGAAGCCTATATGTTGCCTCTTTAAGAAGGGATAGCCCTTCTCCAGTTGAGGTACAGGGGAGTACTTCAGAGAGATGATCTCTTACCCTTCCATCCCCTCCTGTTCCTGCCTTTGCCTTCCCCAACATGCAGAGCACAAACGATTGCTGTCATGTAATTAGGACCCTTCAGGCTTGGGCACAGCCAGCAGGGTCTTTCTTGGAACAGGGGAGATGTGTGAGCCTCCTGGGGCAGGAGAGAGTCCCATCAGCTAGGACCTGAAAATTACCCTCCTTTTGTAGCCTCGGGCCTGGGCAGGGAGGACAGGCTCCCTCTGTCCTCGGGCTCCCCTGGAAATGATCACCAACTAGACTCAGAGTCAACCTGACCCAGGACGACCACCAGGAGGGGCCTGGCTAGCAGAGGCCAGCCTGCCAGATGCTGGTCCTTGGGTTCCTGGGCCAGGGAGAGGCCTCACTGGGCCTGGAACATGTGAAGTTCAGATGGGGTTGCTGCCAAGGCTGAGCTGGGTGGAGCCCAGGGGGGCAAGGGGACGAGGACCGGCAGCAGCACAGACACAGGCAGCCTGTGGATGGCATGTGCTCCGGGGACGCAGGGGCCTGGGTGTTCCGGCCAGCCTGATCTCACTACAATAATAGAAGGTCAGCTGTGTTTCTTTGGAATGATGGGCTCACAGGATTGTTATGCTACCCAAAAAGAAAGGCAACATCCCTATAGAAAAGAAAACACAAGTGCACTCACTTCAACTGTGTGTCATCTGTCCTGAGCGAGTGCTGAGGGGAGCCAGAGGAGACAGTAGCCTGAGGCTTCAGAAGCTCCCTGGACAGTCTGGGGAACAAATCAGGGCAGCCCGCACCCCCTATTCAGGAAAGGGTAGAAAAGCAGGGGATTGCTAGAGTAGGTAGCATGCGGGCTTAGCCGTGGTGGCTGCATCCAGGCACACAAGGTACCAGGGATCCAGCCAGCATCACCCCCAGGAGACGGTGGGAGAGCAAAGGAGATGGGTGGGTGGGAAGGATCTCCCTGGGTCAGTAGCAGGAGAGTGGTGGGCTCCAGGCCCTCACTCTCACCCGTTGCCCTGTCTCTGCCACCACCACCCTCTTCCCAAACCAGGAGAACCTCAGAACCACTCTAGCAGCTCTGCGTTCCAACCAGATAATTGCCCTGAAGGTTTGTAGGTTCTGGATGGACTTTGGGCCCCACTCTGCTGAGAGGCCCCCTGAACACAAAGCCCCGACATTGCACGTCTCTGGCCCTGGCAGTAGAAGGACGAGTTGGGAGGATGGCAAATCTGGAAAGGCTATCATTGGGTGCATTCTCAGTCCAGGTGGCTCCTGGTTCTCAAATGCTTTCAAAAGCAACTGGTGGATTATATTCGATCTGCTTTCACTAGGATTCTAACTACTTACCTAAAGCCGCGGGTTGCTGAATTTCAAAGGGTAGCAGTTAAGACTTCATGTTCTCGAAATGTGATTGCAAGTTGCCTCCCTCCTCTCCGCTCCCTAAAATAAGTGCTTGTATATTCGGAAACATCTTTGCTTGGCCCAGGGTGAGGGCTCGTAGCACTTAGCCTGTGCCCACACTGACCACAGCCTTGCAGGCTTGGCCTGGCATCGCCCTTGACCATCCTCTTCAGATTGCTGACACCAGCCCTTCTTGTTCTACCCCCAAAAAAACCCCAAAGATCACCACACACCAACCTGGCTTCAAGTGCTATTTTAGCTGACCCTGTGGCTTCCCAGCCAGAGTCTCTGTGCCCATCCCCCTCAGCCCAGCAGCCTCAGTTTCCCAACCCCCGTGGGCAGGGCTGGCAGTGCAATGTTGGGGCCTGTGTCAGGGGACTCTTGGGCCCAGTGTGGTTGCAGAGGGCAGGCCTGGTCAAGGAGGGCCACTCTCATCAAACAGAACAGCTGGCAGACACCTGGGCTCCAGTCTGGAGGGTGTGGGCTGAGGGTAGTTGGGCCACCCAAGGGCAGGCTCAGCACCATGGCCCAATCCCATGAGAGTGCCCCTTCACACACCACCTCCAACCCCCGTGGCTCACGCTTGCTAATCTCTCTTCTCTTCTCTCCTCCCATCCCTCTTGGCTACCCTGTCTTCCTGGCGACTTTTGGCATCTTCTGACCACCTGTGATCTCTGGCCTCTGCCCTCTGGCCTTCCAACTCATCTTTCTCTTCAGCTGCTGCCTCTCCTCAATTCAGTGCGGCTGGCTCCACCCCCCGTCATAAAAAGACGGACCTTCCAGGTAGACATCTTCGATTTGCCCAGATGTCGCATGACTTCCCAGGGTGCTCAGCAAGCTTTGGGCCCCTGGTAGGTCAGCTGGGGTGGTAGAAGAAGCCAGATCTTTAATCTGTCTTGGCTACATTAAATCAGACAAAAATGGACCCAGGAATACCATCAACATGGAAATTCCAGGAGGTCACAAGACTATTAAGAGCTCTGATAGTGCAGTGGTTACGAGTTGGGCTGCGAACCTCAAGGTCAGCAGTTCAAAACTACCAGACACTCCACAGAAGAAAGGTAGGGCTTTCTGCTCCTGTAAAGATTTACAGCCTCGGAAACCCTATGCAGGGTCACTATGAGTCAGAACCGACTCCACAGCACATAACCACCATGACTATTATTATGTGTAACAACCACCAATATTTATTGCCAGGGGCCATGCTACACAGTACACATACCTGATTTTATATTGAATTCTCTCGACAGTTTCATGAATGAGTCATGGCTACCCTCTGTAGGTTAATGCGCTGGACTACAAAGTCAGTTTGAACTGCAAGGTCACGGTGGGTCAGAACTGACTCGATGGCACTTAACAAGAACAACAGCATCCTTATTTTGGGGGGTCCTGGTGTGGCGCTGTAGGAAAAGCGCTGGGCTGCTAACCACAAGGTTGGCAGTTCAAACCCACCAGCCGCTCCTCCACTCAGGGAGGCTATGAGTCGGAACCGACTCCACAGCACTGAACAACATCTTAGCAAGAACAACGTCCTTATTTTGTAGATGAGGAAATCAAGACTCAGATTGGGTAAGTGAGCTGCCTGAGGCCACACAGCCAGTAAACTGCAGTGTAGCTGCTCTTGTCTCTTACTCTCTGTGTGATGCTGGGGAAGTTACTTAATGTATCTGTGCCTCTGCTTCCTCATATGTAAAATGAGGACAATCACAATACCTTCATGGAGTTGCTATAGGATTGGCACTGCCTAAGTAAAACCTTTAGAATAGTGCCTGGCACAATTTAAGTACTCTATGAGTATATAATGCAGGCAGTCAGTATTGTTACTATGCATACTTTAGAGACTAGGAAACTGAGACTCAGAAAAAGTTGGTTTGCCCAAAACCTCACAGATAACAGAGGCAGAACTTGAGCTGACAGCCAGGTCTTCTGACCCCACATCATCCAGAACACCTCTTGGTTGAACGTCCATCGTTTGCACTGATGAGTGCAGAATTGGCCCCTACCTTGGAGAAGCTGAGCATCCGCTCCCTGATTCTGAGGAGAAAGGGAGTTGGCAAAAGGACTGTTGTAAGGGTCAGCTGCTGTAAGCATCCTAAGCACAAACCGCTCCCTTCTTGCAACCAAGGAGGTGGGGAGAGGACAAGATCATGAAGAGCAAGTGACCTCACCCATGCTGTCCAAGAGGTAGAAGATCAGGCTTGTGACCTGCCCCTAACCTGCTGACATGGTCCAGCGAGGACCCCCAGGACAGCAGAGGTACAAGAGTGATGGGGTTTTGAGGTCCTGAAGGGCCTGAAACCGCCATCCCTCTGACCATCTGACTCAGGAGCAATCAGAAGCCCAGGAGGCTGTGCGTTCAGGTGTCTGCTTGAATGCAGCTGAGAAACCACCCCAATGAGCAGCTAAAAATACAGAGGGGCACGTGTTACCCGAGCCCAAGGGCTGCACATCCGGTTACACCAGCCAAATCCTTGAGAGCCTCCAAGCACTTCCCCTGCCCAGCCAGGTCAGACCCCGTTCCAGGAGTGCCGAGAACCGGCCCCTGTTTACCTGGACTCCAACAGCTGCCTTATGGCTTCAGTTGTATCTACTACCCTTGCTGGCTTCCAGGCCACGCTGCAAGAGTCCTGTATGGATAATTTCATGTGCCACCATGATTGTACCAAAAAAGAAAGCCAAACCTGTTGCCATGGAATCGATTCTGACTCATGTGACTTCCAGTGTGTGTCAGAGTACAACTGTGCTCCCAAGAGTTTTCATGGCTGTGACCTTTCAGTAACAGAGCTCCAGGTCTTTCTTCCAAGGTGCGTCTAGGTAGGGTCAAACCACCAATGTTAACTTTCTGGGCCACCCAAGCACTCCTGTCGCCACTTTACAGATGAAGAAGTTGAGAGAGGTGCAGGATTCCATCCTGGACACTGCATTGTGCTAAGTGCAAGGGGTGGGAGAAGAACAATCCGTGCTCCCTAGACGTGGTTTCCAAAGCAGAGACAATAATAAGGACCAGAGTCTGCAGGGAGATTAAGGTTTTGTGTTGTCAGCCATCTTAGGCCAGAAAAAGACTTGTCCATTTCCTATCAATAAACCATTATTGATTTTACAGGCTCTGAAAGATGTTTAAACACTGGGTCTGGCATTAGTTGGAAGAGGACACTTTTTCTGGAATATGATGTACTTAGCAGATGATGTTGGAGGTCATTTTCAGTTCCAAAGTGCAGAGAGTTGGACTATGAGCACTTTTTGCTGGAGGATTATTCGGAATGAATAGGAACTGAGTTTATATTCCTGAGGTTGTCCCCTAGCACTACCCTGAATTTCCCCTTTGACCTTAGTCATGGAACGCAACTTCTCTGAGCCTCAGTTTTCTCTTCTGTAAAATAAAACTTGCAAAGTTTCTATTGTGAAAGCTTCTAGAATTTCCAAGTTGTGACAATTCTAGAATTTCAAAGTCAGGAAGGGTCTTAAGGGTTTGTTTAGACCAAGGTTTCTCTGCCCTGTGAATTATTGTTAGTTTTTGTCACATTGTCTCCTACTCTTGGTGAGTCTAGTGTGTCAGAGTAGAACTGCTCCCATAGGGTTTTCAAGGCTGTGACCTTTCAGAGGCAGAGCACCAGACCTTTCTTCTGAGGTGCCTCTGGGTGGATTCAAACCACCAACTTTTTGCTAGTAGTTCAGCACTTAACTGTTGTACCACCCAAGGATCCCTCCCTGTGAATTACCCCTTTCCAAAATTGTGGGGTGCTGTGAAGAATAAAAAGCAGTACCCTAATGGTAAAAGGATTCTTAGGGTGCTCAGAGAACTCAGTGGGCTGAGTCAGACTTTTCTGGTTGAAAAGAAGGCTGGACTGGTCCCCTCTGGAAGTCTGGGTTTTCATTAAACTTCCTTGTTTTAGGAGAGATGCCTCAGAGCAGCCCCTGGGACTTGTGGGGTGGAGGTGAGGAAGGATCAGAGGACTGGAATCTGGGAACCCACAAAGTGACTTCTGCACTGCGGACTTCCTCAAGTCCTAACGCAGGATTTCAGAGGGGCAGCAGGACGAGGCTCAGCTGTCACTGCTGGATGCCATCACCCTAGGACATTCCAGACAAGAGATGTTGCAAGCAGTGTTGCTAAAATCGTATATTTGCATCCTGAGGTTGTGCACTCCTATTTGTCGCACCGAATGCTACCATGTCCTACCATGGAAGCTTGCACCTGCGCCCTTTTTCAGCTGGGTAGTAGATTGGAGCTCCAGGGCCCCACCTCCCCCTGCGTCCCAGCAGAGTACTTTCTCCCCTGCCAGGTGGTTCTGCTTTGACCTGTCCACAAGAATGGACCCCTTCCCAGCAGAACTGAGCCCAGGTTATCTCTGAAGAGGTCATTTCAAAAATAACATAATGACAAATCCAAAAATGACCAAGTGGGTTTCATCTTCCTAGATGTATAAAGGGGTGCCTGGTTGTACAAACGGTTAATGTGTTATGCTGCTAAAGAAAAGGCTGGAGGTTCCCATCCACCCAGAGGTACTGCACAAGAAATGCCTGGTGATCTGTTTCTTAAAAATCAGCCGTTGAAAACCCTGTAGAACACAGTTGTGCTCAGACATGCATGGAGTCGGAATTAGCCTGATGGCAACCACTGGAAGATGTTCCTAAAGGAACGCAATGCTGCCCCTCCCTCACTGGACTCTCAGTCAACCCTGGGCACATACCTGGGTACAGAGGTTGGACTCTGAGTCAGGACAGGGGAAGACAATGATAATAGCAACCTCATAGCGGCACAATGCTCTTTCCAGTTTCTTACCACTTTCAACCAAGTCAAACGTTACAAAATTAATTGCCCTCCAGGGTCAGGCAGATCACATAGGGGACAGAGGAGAAACTTGTCAGAAAGTATAGGGGACCGAGGCCCTGTCTGAAGGGGACAGCTACAATTCAGGTAGCTGCTAATTGCCCCCCAGAAACGTGGGCCCAGAAGTACTCTAATTTCTTCTCTTAAAGCCACCAATACAAATATTTACATGAAATCTCTTACCCAGATTTTAATGAGCCAAAAAAAAAAATTGTGACCTCTGACCTAAGGATTTTGTTTGATCCTCTGGCAAGACAACCAAAGACAGCAAAGAGCTGAGACAGGAAATCAGGAGCTGTTGCCCCCATGCTATGGCGGAGAGGCCAGGGCTTAGATGTGTAGCTGCCACACACAGAGAGGTGGCAAAGGCAGGCCCAGTCTCAGATGACCTGGGCTGGACTCTGGCCCCGTGATCAGGCCACTACCAGGCTGTGGTCAGGTCACAATCACAATCCCTCACTCATGCTCTGCCTCTGCCACCTATAGCCAGGCTCTGGGCCCCAGCGTCAGCATCTCTGTGGAGGAAGCTCTCTCTGGAAGCCCACCTCTTGGGGTCCTGATGTCATGGCTCGCCTCTCACTGCCACCAGCCCCTGCATGTAGTCACCACCATCACGCCCCATCTCACCCCCAGTCACCAGAGCACACAGCTGGGCCTTCACTGGGTGCATGGCACTGGGTGGGAACAGGTCCACGGCTCGGGGCGTCCTCTCCAACTCTTGTCTCTGTGAACCTTAGGGTGAACAGGGCCAGGCCGGCGTCCAAGGACCACCAGGACCACCAGGCCCCCCTGGACCAAGTGGACCTCTGGGGCATCCAGGGCTACCAGGGCCCATGGGGCCACCCGTAAGTATCCCCTTTCTCTACCTAATGCCTTCATCCATCCTTAAAGATATGTCCCCAAAATTCTCACGAAACATTTGAAACTTGAATAAGCAATGGGAAGCTAGGTCCCTGCTGGATGGTAGAAACATCTTAGCAAGACCACTAGACCTAGTGGCCCCCATGAGCATCTGTCCACCCCGTCGCACTCACCTGTTAAACTCTGGTTCTAGAAGCACACCTGGGGCTGACATGTCCTCCACACCTCAGGGGAAATCACCAACAGGCCGCCCGTTTCCCAGCTTCAGTAGACAGGAGCTTGGTCAGCGCAGCGCTGGCTCCTGGGCTTAGGAAAACCTGAGTCCGGTACAGTCAGTTCTAAAGGAGGTGGACAGGAGGAGATCCGAACCCCTGTAATGCTTAACAAACACAACTCACGTAGCGTGCACAGGCTTCCACACTGCTGTCCACCAGGCCAGCCAAGATGAGTGCCTTAGTGACCAGAACTTTTAACACAGCTTGGAGGGGTCCTGCATTGAGTCTGGCAAAGGGATCTCAGTGAGACCAACCAGGCATCCCTTCAGAAAGCATTCAGACTATTGGTCAAACCCATTCCAAGCTCTGACTAAGACGCAGCTCTTTCTCAGGCTGAGAGGATGATTCAGCAGATCCCAGGACTTCTTTGGACTCTTGGTGTGATGCTATAGAATAAGCGCTGGACTGTGAACCACAACGTCGGTGCTTCAAACCCACTGGCCGCTCCTCAGAACCCCTGTATGGTGTTGCACTGAGTCAGAATCAACTCAGTGGCACTTAACAACAATAGGACTTCTTTAGAAAAAGTGGGTCTTCTCCCTACAGATGGAGGAGACCTGGCAGCATAGTGGGTTATGAGCTGAGCTGCTAGCCAGAAAGTCCATAGTTCAGGTCTGTCCGTCGCTCCACGGGAGAAAGATGAGGCTTCCTCCTCCTGTAGAGATTTATAACCTCAGTGTCTCTATGGATCAGAACCAACTTGGTAGCACATGACCATCACCACCACCACCCCACATGAGGCTAACTTTATGGTATTGGTAGGACAAAGGTTAAAAGCAAAGTCTACTTGCTTTTTACTAGTATTTTCCCCACATGAAAGAAAAATACCTTTTTCTCTTTCTTATTGCAAAAGTATTAACACATTCTTTGTGGGGAAAAAAATTGCAGAACACAAAAGAAAAAATTTAAAATGGCCTATCTTTCCACATCCATTTTTCTCCTTAGATGTATCAGCGCATGAACGTTTTCCAGGTTGGCGATGTTCTGAATGGAGTTCCTGGGTGGTACAAATGGTCAATGCACTTAGAGGCACCTCATAAGAAAGGCCTGACAACCTACTTCCAAAAACCAGCTCTACTCTGACACATATGGGGCTGTCTTGGGTCAGAGTTGGCTCAACAGCAACTAGTTAATATTCTGAATCAAATAACTGTTTGATATCCTGGTGTGGTGCTGTGGAATCAGCACTGAACTGCAGACTAGAAAGTCAGCTGTTCAAACCCACCAGCTGCTCCTGAGAAACCCTATTCAGGATCGCTGTGAGTCAGAACTGACACAATGGCACTTAAGGACACATTTACCACTTAACATCATGACTCGAGTCCTTCCCTCGTTCAGGAAAGAATGTTCTTTGACAAGGATCTCAGGACCGGTCTGCCCATTTATGACATATTTAGTGAGTCCCTTTCTGTGAACATGCATGTTTATGCACATCTCTGGTCGTCTCATCGGGGTAGGTTCCCATGGTGGAGTTGCTCCGTCAGGGAATTCCCTGTCAGATAATCCTCGATGCTCGTGACCAGACTGGAAATTAGTGGGCCCCTCGGCTGCTGGTGCTGAGATCCATATAGGGATCTAAATTCATGTCTCAATGAAGAGACACTCTGGACAGGCAGGGCTTTCAGCTGTGTGATGTGCAAAACCTAAGCCCAACGTCACCCCACCACAGATTTTAAATACTCCCATGACATCTCCCCGGAACCCCAGGGAGCGGGGATTAGGCTTACTTCTCTGGGTTTCTAGATGGCATAATGAAAGGCAGAAAGAAATGAGATTTGGGGCAAGGAAGCAAATTAAGCTGAAAAAAAAAAAAAAAATACTGTTCAAAATCCACCTCTTTGCCAATTTCTTTGCCAATTGCCTTATCCCAGAATACATTGGATCCCACTTGATGAACCACATCTAGGGTGTTTGCTTTGTTAAATTGTTTATAAAGAAAACCAGAACACATGTTGTTCTGTAATCTATTTAATGACGATTTGTTTTTCAGCAGTTTTAAGTTTACAGGAAAGAATGTGAATAAAGTACAGAATTCTCATTTACACACTCCTCCACACACCCCACACACTGCCTCTCCTACTATTGTTGTTGTTGATGTTGGAAGTCCTAGTGTGGCACTGTAGAATACATACTGGACCGCAAGGTCGGCAGTTCTAACTTACCAGCCACTCCTTAGAAACTATGCAGGGTCGTTATGAGTCGGAACCAACTCTGCGGTGCTTAACAACAACCACACACTGTTTCTCCTACTAACTTCTTGAACTTCTGTGGTACATGTGCTACAACTGAGGAACCAGATGATGATGATGTTGTTGTTAAGTGCCATCAGGTCAGTTCCAACTCATAGTTCCCCTGCATAGAGTTTCCAAGGATTGGCTGGTGAGCTTGAACCGCTGACTTTGCAGTTCAAACCAACCTTGTAGTCAGTCCAACACTTAATCTGCAGCACTACACCAGGACTCCAAAGAACCAATTATTGGTTGGTATTGTGCTGTGGAGTCGGTTCCAACTCATAGCGACCCTGTACAGGGTTTCCGAGGCTGTAAATCTTTAGGGGAGCAGAAAGCCTCATCTTTCTCCCGCGGAACAGCGCTGGTGGTTTGGAACTGCTGACCTAGCAGTTCGCAGCCCGATTCGTACCCACTACGCTACCAGAGCTCAGAGCTCCTTAAAGAACCAGGAGCTCTGGTAGTGTAGTGGTTACGAATCGGGCTGCAAACCTTAAGGCCACCAGTTCAAAACTACCAGCTGCTCCGCGGGAGAAAGATGAGGTTTTCTGCTCCCTTAAAAATTTACAGCCTCGGAAACCCTGTACAGGGTCGCTATGGGTCAGAAACGACTCGACGGCACTTAACAACAACGGTACCAGAGCTCCTTAAAGAACCAGTTGTTGTTATGAAGTGCCATTGAGTTGATTTCAACCCATAGCGACCCTGTATAGGGTTTCCAAGGAGCAGCTGATGAGCTTGAACTACCAACCTTGAAGTTCAAACTGACTTTGCAGTCTGACGCATTAACCCACAGCTACCTGTAATACAGTAATAATGTTAATACATTAATATTAACAAAAGTCTGTAGTTACAAGGGATCCCTCTGTTGTAAGAGTCTTGACAAACCTTTTATATCATGTGTACAGAATCATTTCCCTCCCTAAAAATCCCTGTAAAGCATATTTTCTTTCCAAAAAAAAAAAAAAAATCCAATGGCTACAGTGCAGACTTGGGCACCCTGGCTTTCTCCAGCCCAAGCTGCCACCCTGCCCCACACCCTGAGTTGTGGTGGCACCCGCCCTTTCCCTCTCCTCCCTCCAGCTCCAGCAGGCAGGCCCCCAGCCACACCGCACCCTGGACAGAAAGGGCAACCACAGCCAAAGACAAAAACAGGGCTGTGCCGGGAAAGATGGGTTTTCTTAGGAGGGGCCCCACATAGGAGATGGGTGTGTACGTAGGGCTCTAAAACCACACTGTCAATTTACCACGATGCCACTGGCCTATTTTCCAGTGAGCGAGCCCCTCAGAGGCGCCCCTGGCTCCCATGTGGCTTAGCAGGCCCTCAGCAGGTTTCAGACACCCTGCCAGGATCCTCCAGATCTCTTCTCTAGCGTATCTGCTTTCTCCTGGGTAGCAATCCATTAGCTGTTTGGAGCTGTTTTTCCCTCAACCTCAGCTGTAAACGTGACTGTTGTTGGCTCTCTTTGAGTCAGTTCCAACCCATGGATGCAGAGTAGATTTGTTCATAGGGTTTTAAAGGCTGTGCCCTTTCAGAGCAGATTGCCAGGTGCCTCTGGGTGGGTTCGAACTTCCAGCCTTTTGGCTAGTAGTCAAGTTGCACCACCCAGATACTCTGAACCATTTGTGAGTGAAAGCATCTCCTATCACCTTGTTCTTGCTTCCACAGGGCTTACCTGGGCCTCCTGGATCAAAGGTAAGGGCTCTTACGGGTGTCATGTTGAGTAGGTGAAAGTGGGAGGCAGTACTTGGGGCTTTTGGGTAAGGGAGTGAGGGGATCTCAGTTCAGAGAAAGCATCCCTTGCCTCTGAGCCAGACCTTCTACTGGTATGAAAGGAGCAGTCTAGTTGGAAACTCAAGGCTGATGTGCAGGACACTCTCACAGTGTCCTCAAAGTAGCATTTACTAAGGTGTCAGGCTCTTTCAGGGTCATCCAGTCTCTCGTGAAACCTTACTTGAGCCCAAGCTGTGTCACACACAGCTCTCCCTTTGAAGCCCAGGACCCTGGGGCTCTGAGGAAGAGAAGCTACAAAGGAAGACTCCTGCCCCATCATTTTATAAATGGATGTGGAGCCTGGGGGAAAGGGACTTGTCCAAGGTCAGACAGAGAGCCTGTCTTTCCGTGGAACCAAAACTGAAACTTGGGACCCCTGCCGAATTGACCCTTCCTTGGCTCTGCCTCTGAAAAGCAGAGCTTGTTTTCAGAAGTAGAACTATCTATCCGTTTCAGAGAGTTCCAAAGCTGTCATGCCAGGTAAGTCTGGATACTAGAGGACCAGGAGGATGTGTTGTTGAGAGGATGAAGGACCAATTGAGGATGAGGGAACAACACAAGTAAAAGTTTTGCATTGGCAATCTCCCTCTAATGGTCTTTTCTTTGTGCCCTCCAGGGAGACCCTGGGATCCAAGGCTATCATGGCCGAAAGGTAAGAGGACAGGGAGAGGACCCAGCTTCTCCTACTTGTAACCCATGAGGGGCTTCACAGGTCGGGACTTGGCCACGCACAATGCATTTTTGCACACTTCCTGTCTGGTGTGACCCTCAAGTGCTTGGTCCAGTTGGAGTTAGTGTATTTACTTTGAGGATGAGGAGGCTCAGAGGAGGCAGGTCACTGGCATAGCTGAACCTCAGGTACCGATGGGTCTCCTCCCACCAACCTGGTTGGCCATGTCTGTCCTAACGTGGCTACTGTCTGGCCCACCCTGGGCAGGGCTCCATGCTGAGGACCATGGAGGAGTCTCAGCCTAGATTCCTGAGCCCAGAGCACAGCACCTTGTGAAGATGAGACAGACAGACTAACTCTTGGTCGGGTGGAGTTTGGGAAGTCTTCTGGAAAAAGGTAGCCTATGAGCTCCGCCCTGGTAAGTGGTACATCAGTAATTTGTTGCTGTGAACCAAACCACTCCCAAACTTACTGCCTTCAAACACTGACTTCTTTCTCAAGAGTCTGTGGATTGGATGTCTCAGAGGTTTTGCTGGCCGCGCCTGCGCTCACTCATTCTATCGTGTCGCATGATCTAGGGAAAGGCTGGAAGGCCAAGATGGCCTCCTGCATGTGTCTGGTTGTTGGTGCTGACTGTGGGTTGGGCACCTTCTTTCTCCTCCCTGTGGGCGCTTCTCCCCCAGGAGGCTGGATCAAGCTTCCCTACAGCATAGTAAGCCCCAGGGCACAAGCTCTTTTCAAGTGCCTACTGGCTTCCATTTTCTTTTGTTCCATTGAACAAAGCAAGTCACATGGTCAAGTCTTGTGAGTCAGTGGGAAGAAGGGGTAGCAAAGCACTGTGGCTGTTTTGTTGTTGTTGTTTTTAATGTAATGGGCCTTCAGCTAGCAAATTCAATGCAAAGTAACACCTCAGATAAAGGAATAATTTGGACAAAGATCCAGAGGTGGTCGTTACAGTAACTATACCAGTACTAGTTGTTGTCAAGTTGATTCCAACTTATGCCCACCCCATGTGTGTGTCCACAGAGGTACCCATGGTACCTCAAGCCCTGAGTTTTGTTTTTGTTTTACTTTGTTTAATTATTTTATTTCTTTGTGAAAGATTACACAGAAAATTACGTTTGTACTGTAGGATAAAGCACTGGGCCTCAAGGTCGGTTTGAACTGCAAGATCAGCAGTTCAAACCCACCAGCCACTCCTCAGAAACCCTATACAGGGTCACTATGAGTTAGAACTGACTCAACAGCACTTTACAACAACAGCTGCGTACGTATTGTTCAGTGATATTAGTCACGGTTTTCACTGTATGTCAACATCGTTCTCCCTATTTCCATTCTGATTGTTTTGATGCCCTTAGTCTAGCACTGTAAGCTAGTCACTGGGCTGCTAACCACAAGGCCAGTGGTTCGAACCCACCAGCTGCTCCTCAGAAACTTTATATAGGGTAGCTATGAGTCAAAATCGACTCGATGACACTTAACAGCAACAACAGCAACCCCTCCCCTGCCCTTCCCATCTTTAGGGTAAATATTGATCATGTGGTCTCCTACAAGGTAATTATTGACTATTTGAAGGAATACTGCGCTCACAGATGACATTGTTGATGTTATTATTTAGCTGAGAGTTGACTTCCAGGAGTGGATTAAGCTCCAAGAGTAAAAGGGATCTCAGGAGGATCCTATAGCCTACCAGTCAGCATAGTACATCTGTCCTTATCTAGGAACTTGAGGTCTGTTCTACATGTCCCCCCCTTTCTATCTGGGACCATCTGTTGTGTCCCTGGTGAGAACAGTTGTTAGTCACAGCCTGGCACCAGCAATTTCTTCTGGTCACAGGATGAATGAAGCTCCACAGGGTTTTCAATGGCAGATCTTTTAAAAAATGAATCTCCAGGTGTCTCTGGGTGGACTTGAACCCCTAACCTTTTAGCCAGCGGCAGAGCTTGTTAACCATTTTCACCCAGGACCCCACAATTACCATCTAAAAATAAAACAAAGCAAAGCCCATTGCCAAAAATAGATTCTGACTCGTATCATGGAAGCCTCACAGGGTTTCCAAGCTGACTGTCCCAGCATTCTCCCGAAAAGTGGCTCGTGGGTTTGAACTTGTAATTAGTAGCTGGGTGTTTTAACCATTGTACCACTGGGATTTCTCCACAGTGACTATAATAATGTAATAATCATTTTGGTAATCGTCACTACCCACTTCCCTTCTTCATGACCTGCATCATCTGTCATCTTAAAACTGCCCCACGAGGCTGTTGTGGTTAAGTACTTTAGCAGCTCTCTATTCTGGTAGCGTAGTGGTTATGAATTGGGCTGCTTACCTCAAGGTCAGCAGTTCGAAGCTACCAGCGGTCTGTGGGAGAAAGATGAAACGTTCTGCTCCTGTAAAGATTTATAGCCTCGGAAACCCTGTGCAGGGTCGCTATGAGTCAGAACTGACTCATAACAGCACATCACCACAGGGTTTCCAAAGAGCGGATGGTATATTTGAACCTCCGACCTTGCGGTTAGAAGTCCAGTGGTTATAGTATGATATCCCTGTATTTAACAAATGAGGAAGCTGAGGCTTGCCCAAAGTCTTAGGACTCCTAAGTGGAGGAGCCGAAGTTCAAATCCAGATCTGGCTAGCTCCACCCTCTGAGTCCTTCCCACAGTACCACCTGCTGCAAGGAGCCCCCTGCCCTCCCAATCCTTGTCTGACACCAAGACAAAAGGTGGGGAAGATGGGCTCCAGGAAGACAAGGAGGGAAAGGAATCTTGGGAGGGACACAGTCACCAGGAGCAGCACACTCCTCGAATGCCGTGATCAGGGGCTGCTGACACCATGTTGTTTTATGGGAGGCTAGTGGGTAAAACATGGAGATCTGAGACATCTTTAATTAGTTCTGCATAAACTGAGATGTTTGTGTTCTGTCAGGAAGTGGAAATTATAGCCCCTGGGCTTGCCTCCATCCACTCATCAGACTCACAAAATTTACTGCCTCCTGGTGTAGCGAAGGGTAGGTTTTCCCATTAGCAACCGGATTTGCTCTTTCAAGCTATAAAGAGGCTGTGGAGCCAGAAGTCCCCAGGGGTCATGGCGATGCCCGTGACTGGCTGGGCATCTGGATGAGAATAGATATCGGTTCTCTGCTGCATACCAGAAAGGAGCTTGTGGGGGTGGGGGGTCGTCTTGAGAGTGGAGAGGCTTTAGTTTAAGACTAGGGTATCAGGATGGTCATGGGGCTGATCCCATGGGTGTGACTGCATTAAGCCAACAGAGAAAACTAGTCTAGTGTGATCCTACTGAGGGGAAACTGGAGCATGGCGGGGGAGGCTTGCCCTGGGGAGAGTACAGCCTGGAAGTGGGAAGCACTTGCTTAGCATGACTAAGTGTAGAGCAAGGGCTGATGGTGCATCCCACAGAAAGAGTGACTTCAGCTCAGTAAGAGAACTTTCTGTTCATCACCGGTGCTTGGGAAAGAGGGAGGGAGCTCCCTGTCACCAAAGGTGTTCAAGTAAAGGATGAATAAGTGATTGTTTGGGATGAAAGAAGAGCTTCTGTATCAGATGGGAAAATGGAATAAAATTTCCTCTAACATCTTAGGGACAGAGCTAGCTCCCCAGCCCCATTTTGTGGGTGTTGGTTTTCTAGGAGGGAGACCTCTGTCAAACTGTTTCCACTTCTTCACCTGCCACCCATCTCAGGTCTCCTCCCCACTCCACTCCCCTCTGCTCCTCCACTGCCTCTCTGGAAGGTTCCTGCTGCCTCCATCTCTCCCAAAACATGGAGTCTTTTCAGTGGGGTCAGCTGACCCCATGTGGCCTCAGCACCAACTACTTGGTGGCGGCCCTGATTCTACAGTCGACCAAGGCCTCCTAAACCAGCAGAGGTGCGTACCAAGAGTCAGTGACAACAGCAGAGGGGCCACCTCCAAAATCGTAGGGTCCCTTCTCGATGCCCAAGTGACTCTGAAGAGACTGCAGGGCTTGTTCACTATCCCAGCCACACTGGCCAGTCTGTCTCCAGGGCTACCCTGCTGACCACAGACCACTGAGATGAAGCAATACCCCCACATCTGCAAATGGACTCAAGTCCATCTGTGCCCCATCTCACCCTATCACTGTTTTACAGGTGAGAAGCTCAGAGAGGTTAGGTCTTTGTCCAAGTGTGCACAGCTAGTAAGAGATCATGCTGGAATCTTAAATGGCAGCCAACCTATCTTCTCGCCCTGGTGCACACACGCACACCTGCCCTACCTGTGGTTTCTCTGGGGGGGCTTATCCCCAACCTCCCTTCTCTTCTCCAGCATTTCTCTCTGTTTGCCTCTCTGGAATAGTGTAGGGAGAAGACATTAGCTTGAAGTCCGCTTGATCGCAGATGCTGGAAAGAGAGGCTTACTTCCTGCCACCACCCAGGAAGGGGCCAGCCCTAAGTTTGACCAAGAGTGACAGATGCCACATACCAAGAAAGATCTTGGATAGTCTTTTGGGTGCAGCCTAAGGGTGTGAGACTCACCCAGAAAAAAAACAGAGAATAATTAGAATTTAGTCCCCGAGGAAACCGGAGCACTCAGGACCCAGGGAAAAGGCAACAACAGACTTACAATATAGGAGAGGGCCTATGTATGCAAGCAGGGAGGGGTCTTGGAATTGGCATGTGCTGGGGTCTTCTTGGTTAGTTTAAAGGTTTTTAGAGTATCACTATGGAGACAGAGACATTTTTATCTTGGAGAATCTGGGGCCAGGGCCTGGAGGGGCAAGGAATAATTACATCTGTTGAGAGACTGGATTGTAAGGCAGTAATGGTGCTTATCCCAAGAACCTGTATGAGGCATGGCCAGGAGGGTCAGTTAGTGACCACAACTGTTGAGAGGCTGAGTGACAAGACAGGAAGGGCCATGTCAGAAGCTGGGTGAAAGGGCAGCAAAGAGGAATTAATAGTGAATGCTGAGGTAGCAAGCTTCATAAGCCACACTTTAAGCTGCGACAGGGAC